AGCCAAATTGATGACCCAACAAGGCCGAATAGTGACACATTCCACTCCTACACTCCCTAAAGCGGTGGGTGAAGAAACGCGCTCACCAAGAAAACACAAGTGGTAGTCCAGCTCCGCCCATACAGTTAACGTGGAACAAAGTTTTCATGACATATCCTAACGGTCAAGGTGACCATTTATAGCGCCATTGCATTCCAAGCTGCAATCCAAGCAACACCCGATTGAACACTGCGATTAGTGTTGTTCGCCGCGGATGCTGGAGCTCCGTTTGGCGCGGCGCCATGCCTTTCTCCATCAAGGACGTAAGCGACGATTAGTTATCGCCCTTCCCTCCTGATGCTTTCCCTCCGGAAAAAAGGGTGAATGTTTACTTCTTCCCACTGGACTACCTGCTTCATCGAGCCCCATCGTAGATCTCTTGCCAACCTCCAGCCTGTGCACGCACGTTCCTGTATCCAGAACATCAAACAAAAAGTTCCCTCGTATAATTCCCGCAGATAATAGTCTAAACTGCTACGAAAAGGGAAGAAGAGGAAACTTCACAGGATTTCTAGTTCCCTTCCCATTCTACGCGTTTTTCTGGTAATTCAAAGTGACAGTAAGGGGAGTGGGGTTGGCCTTCGGGTTGACGGGTGTTGTACTTGTGGTGGAGGGGACGGTCCATGACCAATTTTTCTAGTCAACATTTGGTGACCCGCTCTCCCCAGCCCCAGCACATTTCACTTCTAAGTGACCTATATTTATTTCTATACCCCAGAGTGTCAAGCAGGAAGACCTTTGGCTTGTTTCCGCACATGAAGGACGTCCCGCCGTTGGGTTTCTACCACTTTTCCAAAATTTCTCCCGAAATTCTACAGTTTAACTGAAAGAAAGCCAGCGAGAGTGGGTGTATATCGTACATGAAACAGGAAGAACTGAGTAGAATTCGGAACAAAACCTCTTCCTCGTAGGCGAATAAGGCCCGCCTCTCTTCAGCGATCAATACGACCTCCCTCCCTTCCTCGCTGGGGATCCCCAACGTCCGACGTGCCCTACCCTCACACTGCTTCCGCCACCGCAAGATTTTCATCATAAAGTGCAAATCGCACACGTGCAATGCGATTTTCTTATCGCAAAACATCAATTTTACAATTCTCACCTCGTTCAACCGGAGCCTTCTGATCATAACGTCGCGGGTATTTGCCCCGTGATGTCTTCCTGATGAAATCGTAGACGCTTTTGTTTGTTTCGAAGATATTGGTGACGGTCAATAAATAGAAGAACGTAACAATAAAACACCCGTAAAGAATCCACATTGGCATGCGCCGACCGCCACCCGTCGCCACGTTCAATTAGTCGGCACACAGCGACCTGAATGAGGTCAGAAATGAAGTTATTAAAGAAATGACAGGCACGAATTTCTGCGAGATTGCGGTATAAATGGTGGCGGAATAAAAAGGCGCAGTTCGGTGTGGTGAGGGCACCAAATAGTACTCAGTAAAGCTTGTACAATCTCCTCTCTGCTAATGATGGAATGTGTCGTCAAGGCTGGGTTTGGCGCGCCACGGACACGTTCCCAGTTCCGCAAGCGGATGGGCGACAATCACTGGTGGAAAACGTCTGAGGCAATAGTCGATAGTCATACGATAGCCTTGCCACTCGTAGAACAAAAAAGCAAAAAGCAGACTGGTCCCACGTCAAACCCATTCCCTCCCCCTCTTGACACGCCCCATCATGCGTAATGAGCCGTGCTGTACAGGCCAGCTTCTGAAGCCCTATAAATTTCTGGCACCAGAGTAACTCATTCGCACTTCTCAACAGTCCACCGAAATGAGATCCGCTGGTTAACATGACTAGCAAAACGAATTCTCTGTATTCTGACTAGCAGAACGAAATTCTCTGTAATCAGACATTCAGCGCTTGATTTTATCCACCCGCTCCCCTTGTAAAGGATATAAATCACGGGATCTTCCTCGGCCACATTTTCTTCCGTTCTTCCTTCGTTAGACTTGGACTGAATTTTCCACAACCTATTTTGGAACTACTATAAGGCTACGGACTACGACATTATCATACAAAATTATTGACCCAGCACAGGATGAATTTCACAGCGCACTTTTCTTCCATGACGCGCGATTCCACAATGCGATGCTTGACTATCCGGATTTCTTTTCATTTTCTGGAGATTTGCTTCTGTGGCTAAGCAAGCTTCACAAATGCGTAGCTAAAGGTACCAGCTCTCAGACGATGTAGCAGGTCGTAGCCATAGCCTCTTTGCTTTCCTGCCAATCCTTAAACTGTCGCCACGTTTTTGAATGGGATGACAAAAAATCTGAACTGTTGCGCTGGGAAATCAAGAAAGTACGTGGATAGGTTGAGCCGTCCACAATTTTTACGATTTATTCGACAACGGTTCGGCTTCCTCGCCGTCGTCAGGGCTTGAAAGAGTCCAAAACAATTGAGATTGTCCATCGAAAACCTTCACGAAAACTTTAACAAGAACAAAGACAATTTCGAGATGGTAGTCAACCACCTAACGACATCGAATGATAAGTTTGAGGTGGCTTACCTTGGTCTCAGCCGCGATGACGTGAGATCCAACGCCCAAGCTGTAGCACTGCTCCGGCAGCGTTCAGACTTCGCGACGGCAGCGCTTCGGTCGCGCGATTCGACGATCGATGCGCATGCTTTCGACTGCGTCGATCGCGTCAAACGCGTGACCGAGGCTCTGCCGTCGCGGAATCTGACGCTGCCTAACAGTAAGCTTCCAACTCCATCAGGGCACGCTATCGTTGTGATAATCACAACAAGGGGTCGTATTCGAGCTCGAGGGGGTCCTAAGCACAGAGCCTTTCTGAAGTGGGGCATGTAGGGATGCTCAAATGTCGTTAAGCTTCAGTGATGGAAGACTTATTCATTTGAAGAACACCTGAAGAGACATACACATGAAAGAAGCAACCTGCCAGCGGCCAAGGGGAATGGGCGATCACAGAAAATACGATAGCCGCCCACAGCGATGTCATGAATTAAAAAAAACAGGTGAAAATACACTTCCAGATCTTCCTATACCTGCTTGCACGGAATAAGCCATATCTAGAACTGATACCCTGAGCGGAAGCATTCGTTTCGGAAGTATACCAAAGTCATTAGACGAACTGGAAGTGGGGCGTCGCAGGGGTAGGTTTTTCGTGTCGGCCGAAATGGATTTGTCCACATAACAATAGGGATTTTTTTTCGGGTAGTGGGCTCAGGGCTAGAAAGAATGTCTTGCTATGAAGTGAAACCTTCGAAATTCCGTCACTGCTTTTGTTCTGCGAATAGCCTTGCGGCTGTTCAGAGCGGAAGAACTTGTAAATGACTCCAAATGTCACAAGGTGATCACAACGGAAAATGTTTCGCGAAAAGAGGTTTTTTAAAAATCGCTTTAATTCTGTCGAAAAGTGTCAGTCTAGTGCTCCACAGTCCTGCTTTCCCTTCTACAAAAGCTCCACTCTCAAAACAATTATGGGTGTTCAGCGAAGGGCGCTTCCCTAGTGTTTGGCTTGGAACTATTTGGATCGTGAAATAGCTCGTTACAATGCTACGGCACAAAGCGTGTTCTAACTAACCATAAGCTCTCAACTTTGGGTGGCCGCGAGCGATTAATATTCAAATGCTAGCACATGGATTTTTCATTTTTATGTCTTATTGGATGCATTGATGGTTCATTATTTTTGCTTATTTTTTGTGAACCAGTCGGATCCCCCGGCTGGCGCCGAGCTCTCCTCCTTAACATTAGCTGGCTTGGCTTCGCCCAGGCGCACTTCATAATGGGAACGAAATTCTTTCTTTCACCTAGCTACTCAAAACGCGGTGCTTTGAACGAATCGTAATAGATGGAGCAACCCACGTGCGAGCTTACGCCCAGCTGCCATGCGAGCAATAGCTTAGGGTGTACTAAATGGTTGTCTTGTATAGGGTGAGGGTATTATCATAATCAGAACAACATCTTAGTTTGTTACTTTATTATGGATTATCTTGCAGTTTTGCTAGCGGCTGTATCCTCTTCTCCTGCTTATCCTACTCAAGCGCGTACTACGCCCCCTCCCCTCACCGTACCTCCTCCCCTCTACTTCCTTCGCTTCCACATACTCAGGTCCGGCTGAGCACGTGCAGGGGAAGGAAGCAGAGGGGAGGGGTCCCTCGGTGCCCCCGCCCCGTCGTTCCACCCCACTCTGCACCCGCACGAGCACACCCAGCTGCCACGCTAGCAGCTCGTGCAATGGCTCGGAGTATACAGAGTGGATGTCTTGGATAGCTGAGGCTGTTATCACAAACAAACATTGGACGATAATCCGCACCAATCGGTTACCGGTTTGTCTAGCGGTCGTTTTCTCCTCCGCTAACTCCAACCCGTGAAGCATTGCGGATGGACATACAATACAAAACGGCACACAAAGTTACTGGCTTATAAAATAAAAGGATTGTCATGACTCACTTTCTTGTGTTCCTCACATTTACCCTTTATCAACTTCGCGCCTTTCTTGTCGTTCGTTTTCGCAAATCTTCCGTTTTTTTTCGGAGTTTGTTTGTCCGCTGCTAGTCTGGTCTGCTACTTTCAGATTAGCAGCGAGCAGGTAAGGTGGGAGGGAGCGTAGCAGAGATTCACATTCACAATGGCGTGTTATGATCTCAATCTGTTGGCTGTTAAATCATGGACCATCGCGGCTTTGTCATAAAAAAGCGAGAGTTGATTCTTGCACAATCATAAGACACTCCCTGTGCCGTGAAAACTACCTAGGAGTTAGGCTGACGCGGTTGTAGGAAGGTTGGGCGACGATGGCTTTACATTGTCGTGAGCGTGGAGGAGCGCTTGTATAGAAATATCTTGAGAATATTACACATGCGTCTTTTCTGTAGTTTGCAATCCTATGCGAAGTAAAGTTCAATGATCCTATCGGACGAAGTGTCCTTTTTATTGCCTAGAAACGAAACAAAGAAACATGAGAGGCATCTGTTGAGTTGAAGTGTTAGATAATCGTCTAAGAGCGAGCGCACAGCTTGTCTGAGCTACAGCGATAGCCACCGGGGCACTGAGAGCATGCATTGCCCGGAGTGTAGATCTTAGCATCGGGTACATTACCTCTGAAAATACTCATTTGAGATATCAGATAGGATGGACTGAGGAAGAAGAAGAATAGTACCCAGTCTGGTAGTGGCACGCAATATAGTAAGAATTGGGGCACTTGTTTTTCTGTGTAACAGCACATCCAATCTTTGCAGTGGTTGCCCAGGCCATCTGAAGTACGTTGGTTTCATATTTGTCTTCTTACAGTATATTGAAAACGTTTCAAGAGAATCTGGGATAAAACTACGTCTCTCTATATTCGTAACAAATTCCACAGAAATATGTTAGTGTTTCGTGAGCAGTCTCACCCTGGTGAAATAGCTGATTGGACTACCCGACTGGGAACTTCTGAACGTGACTCCAGTCCCAACAGTACCGACCACTCTCAGCTGACTCCACCAATACTTGATTGCCTGAACGAATGGCTCACTTACGTATTGCAACAATATGACACAATAAATACGAACCTCAATCATGGCATTAACGCGAGAAGAAACGCTGGCTTGTGGAAGACTATAGATGTTTTCCTGTACACCAGATGCAAGGCCTGACGATGGATTCATAGAGCACCTATCCACAGCTTTTTTAGCCGAGGTTTCCAAAGTACAGTCATATTCCTAGAAGAAGAAGCCATGTGCACACTACACAGATCTGCTCGCAGAAAAAAGTTAGAGCGAGTACTTTCACCCACTGAAGCTCAGCTGGATCCCACAGAATCCCAGAATATGGGACGCCGGTATGAAATCGTAGAAGTGTCCGTGCGAGCGGAGAACAGTTACTGTGCTTGTAATATAGTACTGGCCCATCAGCAGCGCAGACCACGCACGCACCAATGTCAAGTGTGTTTCAGAAATTTATAGGAATTGTATGACCGCGAAAGCTTTAGCACACTTGCGTATCATTGCTTGTGCGTGTGTCATGGATCATCTTCCGAGATGTTTTATCACCTCTGCGTCAACAAGGTTTTTAAGTGGAACTTCATTTTCGACCAGATCGTCGTCCTCAGAGGCCTAAGCGTAGCTCAAGATTTTAATTTGCTCTCTACACCGCCTAACGCCTCTTCTCCCTAGCGTTTCCGACGGTACTCCAGAAACAACCGAAAAACCACCCATAGGCAAAACATACTCACCAAGTCCACCGCGGCAACGCCGCTCCACTATGGTAGTAAAGTAAGTGAAAGACACTGTGCCGTCCTTGTATAGCAGCTATCAGGACTTGCAGGTCTCATAGCTTACATCTTTACCTCGCAATGTGGTGAAAACGGTAAGAGGTCATTTGTTATGGCTAAACACTCATTTCGGTTATTCATTCTAGGATTCCTTGCGGAAATCCAGAATGCCTCTGGCGCTTTTCTTGCAGAGATCCCAGTTTCGTACGCTAGAGTTCTGCACTTCGCTTCAAAATCGCTCCCGCGGTGCTCTCAAATCAGACGCTTCCCTAAGGGCGTTGCTATGTTACCACGCCTAAACAAGATGTTCTTTGATACGTGTTGCCAGTGGCCTTCCAGTCTCCCCAGTGTGTGTTGCATTACATGTCTGGCATTCGAGTTGGTAGATCACGCCAGCTTTGGCGCAATCTCCTGCTTTACCTTTAGGACATATAACACAATGATCTGAAATGCAATGTCTGTCGTAGAGTCTGTCACGTACAAGCTGGCGCCTGATGTTGTCATTAGGGATGTTCACTGAGACCACATCATCCTCCAGCCTTGCCCGAGCCAGAAATCTTCGAATTGCAGCACTTACATTATCAGATATGAACGGTACACATAAGGGGATCTTATTTTGGCCAGTCTCAGAGTTTGTGGAAAGTATAGCCGTTAGAAAAGGCTATTTCAGCAGCCAGTCATGTAGACTCTTGCCGTTCTGTCACACCTGTGCTCACGTTTGCAGCTGTCCCAAACATGTTTCGGACAACTGCATGTTTCAAGGCAGAAGGATGTGCAGAAGTTGCATGAATCAAGATGTTTTTAGAGCTTGCTTTTCTGTACCACTTCACACTGAGCATGCCATCGAAACTTTCACCTGCGTATTCAAATACATCGATGCACCGGCAGTACATTAAGGGTAATCGTTCCAGTACTGGCTCTTCTATTCTGCTCATGAAGTAGACTGCAAGTACAGGTGCTAAGCGTTCACCCATCGCGAGACCTTTGTTTGCATAACAAGCTCCTGACCATTTGAAGATGTTACATTCTAAGCTTAGCCACAACAAATGACCTCTTACCGTTTTCACCACTTGCGAGGTAATGATGTAAGCTATGAGGCGTGCAAGTCCTGATAGCTGCTATGCAAGGACGGCACAGTGAGTCTCACTTACTTTACTACCATCTAGTGAGCGGCGTTGCCGCGGTGGACTTGGTGAGTATGTTTTGCCTACGGGTGGTTTTTCGGTTGTTTCTGGATGTAGCGTCGGAAACGCTAGAGAGACGAGGCGTTCGGCGGTGTAGAGAGCAAATTAAAATCCTGAGCTACGCTTAGGCCGTCCGTGGAGCCTCTGAGGACGACGATCTGGTCGAAACGTTAGGCAGTGAATAAAGTTCCACCTAAAAACCTCGTTGACGCAGAAGTAATAAAACATCATATTTACAACAATGCCGAGGTTCTACGAAGAGAGAAGTTGGAGACTATTGGACGATCTTCCAAGAGTTTTTCTAAGCAGGCAATCGCATTTTTATAAGGAGGTACCCGGTAGCCTTTGCTATTTAACCGCGAAGAAGAATGGCAACTATCACGAGTTTGACTGCTCAGAATTTGCTTGGAAGATTCCGAAGCGCTTTTGTATCCATATGTGGGAAGACTGTCTTTCGTCAGTCTTATAATAAGTCCTCTTAAAACTAGGCACTAAGTAGCTTTCCACGCGAAAACAACCACCTGTTTAGCGATTGTTGTCTGTTGTGTTGAAATACGAGTGTTTCTAGCTGCACCTACTATCAGCCTTTTGGGAGTTCAAACAGACTTACCAATTTGAGCATATTTGTCGCCTGTGGGAGGATTTTGCCGTTCTTATTCTTGACCAATCCTTGGGCAAGTCTCGACCTTAATCGCCTCATTACAACCCAGATGGAAAACATGAACTGTTGAAGATGTGGAGCATAGTAAAATTGAACTCAACCTTCTGTAGTTATGACCTTCAAGTGCAGCATTTCTTATCCGGTCATTCACGCCGCTATTTTGCGGGCACCTCATGTTGTCTGGAAAAATGGAGTGCTTTTTAAAAATTTTTTCTGGGGATAAGCAAAAGCAGAAACGCATTTTTCTTGGAAGGCTTTGAAGGGCCGGACGGCGACGTAGGCAGTACAACCTTATGGTTTTATTGATTGTGGCTCACTTGGATTCACAGTTGTTGTTACCACCACTGGTGCGGGTGTTTTCACCACAACTGGTGCGGGTGTTTTCACCACCACTGGTGCGGGTGTTTTCACCACCACTGGTGCGGGTGTTTTCACCACCGTTGGTGCGGGTGTTGCTGGAGCTTGCACTTGGCCTCCTTGGTTGTTTCCATTTCCATTGCCGCCGCCTAGGTCAGTATTACCACTGTAATCGCTATAGTCGTAATCTTCTTCGTCTTGTGCTAATGTTGCTGTGGCTAGCTGAAATAGGTGTGAAAATGTCAGAAATGTTCGGGAATCAAGCGAGACATAAAACTGACCAGGAGTGCAAGAGATACACGAGACAGGAAATGCATTGCCGGATTGTTGACTAGTATCCCACTCCTTGCTTAAGTAGTGGTTCCAGCCCAACCTCCCATTTCCATGTTCAGGATATCCGATCTATCTGCCTTTGGTTATCTAACAGGGGCTCAAAAACGATTAATCACGACAGCTAGTGTTCATTTTCCATCCACATTGTATCGTTCCCCTACATTCCGTACCAAATAGCATGTAAAAAATTTAATAATTGTTAATTAACGGAGGAGTCGTACAACAGTTTCGCAAATTTGCAAAGAAGTATTATTCGTGCAACCAGCGGGCGTGGCTGAGTAGTGCATGTGAATGTGATGGCGGCTGCGCTTTTGGTGGAATACTGCTGTTCTGGAACAATTATAGTCATGTCTGCATTGGACTTAATGCAGGATGACAGCTGTCCGAGAAATATTTCTTCCACAAAAAACGCATTCTAGCATGCAATGCAGTTACGTCCATCCCATTTTCTGGACATGAAGGGCACCCAGCGGATTACAAAATAAAGCCATCGTGCTGTCATCAATTGCCTTCCACTCTCAGGCGCAGCTTCATTCACCCATTGGCTGTCTTGTATTGGGTTGCTCCTAAGTACTGGCAATTTTTTCTTACACAAGTTTTCAGGTGAAAAATAAGGATCGGTTCCGATATGCTCCACGAATTGATAGATAATTTCCGTCCTACAATACAGCATGGTTGCCTTCTAACTGTTCTTAGTTTTTTCGATTTTTGTCATTGACAGTGGAATGTGGAGCGGACACAAATGTGATTCTTTATCAAAACTTTTTGCACTTATCTAGTCTCTCAAGTTGCAGAAAAAGTTCGAAAATGTGAGGTACATGAACAATGACTGCTGCTTGCTAGAGCTTCTTGAAACTAATCACGCTATTCATAGATGGGAATTCGGACCACAAAAAAAGAACATCGCATGAAGCACCCTCCTGGTGAATGACTGCTAGAAGATCCCATCCCCCAAGTTCCAAAGTTCTCCTATAAGGTGAAGGTGATGCTGAATGAGAACATAGAAGCTTTCCAAGTTATCTATCAGTCCTCTATTCTTCGGCATGAATCTTCGTGAACAAGGTGATTCAATAGGCTCTCGGTTGGACTCAACAGGTAATCAGGTCCGATCCTTGTCTGATAGGTCAAAATTGAGAACATTAAATTGTTTTAGGAATTGTAAACATTTACAAGAAACATAGCTTATTCAGCTTGTTGGTCACACTCTGAACAAACTGTTCGGTTTCACCTTTTCATTCAGATGTAAAAAAGGGGAGACTGCCAGAAAATTCCAATTTCGTCTACCTAACACTCCAGTTTGAGCACTCAAAATTAGTGGAATTAGAATGTTTAGAAAAGCTGTGAGAACCTCCTTTCAAGACGGAGAATTCTCTGAAAGCAGTACGAAATCCAATGATAAAACTTTTGTATCGGAATTTCAGATAAAAATACCGTTACTTGTGAGCCAATCCAGTGCAGGTGTTCGAGAAGAGAGGACTACTGATTTAAGGACAGAAGTCAGCCACAGACAGAACTATAACCTGTTCCTCCGACCGACCCGGGAAGAGCGCTATTCATTACTCCACCGGGCCGCTCCACGCTTTTAGCTCAATGGCATTTCGTTGATCGAAGAAGAGTGTTGTGCATGCCAGAATACGGCACTCCTGGGCAGGCGCTGCCCGGCGCCTTCCCATCGAAGACCCCAATAGCGCCCTACCGAGCAGCAGCTTACCACCCGGACGCCTACCCGCGTCGACACAGAAGTGTCGACCATGGACACCTGGCACCTGTGACATGGAGCGATGCATAATGCTCAATCGTTCCATGTGTGAGGTAACAATATGATGGAGAAGGAATTGACAAAAGCTAACTGCGACGCAT